GGATTACAGACATGTACCACCACGCCTGGCTAATTTTTGTATTTTTAACAGAGACAGGGTTTCACCATGTTGACCAGGCTGGTCTCAAACTCCTGGCCTCATGTGATCTGCCTGCCTCAGCCTCCCAAAGTGCTAGGATTACAGGCGTCAGTCACCGCACCCGGCCAAAAATACATTTTTTTTTTGAGATGGGAGTCTCGCACTGTTGCCCGGACTGGAGTGCAACGGCATGATCTCAGCTCATTGCAAGCTCTGTAATCTTAGCACTTTGGGAGGCCAAGGTGGGTGTATCACAAGGTCAGGAGTTCAAGACCAGCCTGGCCAAGATGGTAAAACTCTGTCTCTACTAAAAATACAGAAAAATTAGCTAAGGGTGGTGGCAGGCGCCTATAATCTCAGCTACTTGGGAGGCTGAGGCAGAGAATTGCTTCATCCCAGGAGGCAGAGGTTGCAGTGAGCTGAAATTGCGCCACTGCATTCCAGCCTAGGTGACAGAGCGAGACTCTGTCTAAAAAAAAAAAAAAAAAAAAAAATCTCCCAACAAAGAAAAGCCCTGGACCTGATGGCCTCACTGGTGAATTCCACCCAACACTTATATTAACGAACGCCAGGCTGGGTGCAGTGGCTCATGCCTGTAATCCCAGCACTTTGGGAGGCCGAGGCGGGTGGATCACCTGAGGTCGAGAGTTCGAGACCACCCTGACCTTTAGTAGAGACATGGAGAAACTCTGTCTCTACTAAAAATACAAAATTAGCTGACGTGGTGGTGCATCCCTGTAATCCCAGCTACTCAGGAGGCTGAGGCAGTAGAATTGCTTGAATCTGGGAGGCGGAGGTTGTGGTGAGCCGAGATCACGCCATTGCACTCCAGCCTGGGCAACAAGAGCGAAACTTCGTCTCAAAAATAAAAAAGTAGGCCGGGCGCGGTGGCTCAAGCCTGTAATCCCAGCACTTTGGGAGGCCGAGATGGGCGGATCACAAGGTCAGGAGATCGAGATCATCCTGGCTAACATGGTGAAACCCCGTCTCTACTAAAAAAATACAAAAAATTAGCCGGGCGAGGTGGCGGGTGCCTGTAGTCCCAGCTACTCGGGAGGCTGAGGCAGGAGAATGGCGTAAACCCGGGAGGCAGAACTTGCAGTGAGCTGAGATCCGGCCACTGCACTCCAGCCTGGGTGACAGAGCAACACTCCGTCTCAAAAAAAAAAAAAATAAAATAAAAAAAAAAAATAAAAAATAAAAAAGTAAAAAATAACAAACACCAAATCCTTCTCAAACTTTTCCAATAAGTTGAAGAGTAGCATAACTTCCTAACTCATTCTCTGAGGCCAGCATTACTGTTAGGGAACAGCATAAGACTGTTAGAAGGAAACATAGGGTAAATGTTTCACAACACTGGATTTAGCAATGATTTCTTGGATATGACATCAAAAGCATAGGCAACAAAAGAAAAAATTAGACAAATTGGACTTCATGAGAATTTAAAACTTTTGTGCATCAAAAGACACTGTCAACAGAGTAAAAAGGCAACATACAGAATGGGAGAAAATATTTGCAAATCATGTATCTGATAAGGGATTAACATCCCGAATAAGCCAGGCATAGTGGCTGATACTTATAATCCCAGTACTTTGGGAGGCCCAGGCGGGAGGATCTCTTGAAGGGACTGAAGACCAGACTGGGCACTGTAGAAGGATCCCATCTCTACAGAAAATTAGCAAGGTGCAGTGGCAGGTACCTGTAGTCTCAGCTACTTGGGAGGCTGAAGAGGGAGAATCACTTGGGCCCAGGAGTTCAAGGCTGCAGTGAACTATGATGGCACACTCCAGCCTGGGCAACAGAGTGAGACTCTATCTCTAAGAAAAAAAAAATCCAGAATATACAGAGAACTCCTAAAACCCAACAACAAAAAACCAAACAACCCAATTCAAAAATGGGGTTAATATCTAAAATATATAAGGAACTCAACTCATATCAAAAAAAATAGATAACCTGATTAAACAATGGGCAAATAACCGAAAGAGACATTTATTAAAGACATACAAATGGCCAATGGGTATATGAAAAAATGCTCAGCATCCCTAATCATCAAGGAAATGTAAATTTAAAAATGAGCTATCACCTCATAACTATTAGAATAGCTATTATCAAAATGACACAAGATAACAAGTGGTGGTGAGGATGTGAAGAAAAGGGAACTCTGGTACACTGTGGATGGGAATGTAAATTAGTACAAGCCATTATAGAAAACAGTATGGAGGTTCCTCAAAAGTTAAAAATAGAACTAGCATATAATCCAGCAATCCCACTAGTGTGTATATATCAAAGGGAAATAAAAATCAGTATATTGTAGAGATACCTGCATTTACATTGTCACTGCAGCATTAATTTCAAGGGCCAACATATGGACTCAACCCATGTATCCATCAGTGAATGAATACATAAAGAAAATGTGGTATATGCAAAATGGAATACTATTCAGCCTTTAAAAAGAAGGAAATCCTGTCATTTACAACAACATAGATGAGCCTGAAGGACACTATGTTAAATGAAATAAGCCAGGCACAGAAAGACAAATACTGCATGATCTCACTCATATGAGGAATCTTAAAAAGCTGAACTCATGGAAGCAGAAGAGTAAAATGGTGGCTTTCAGGGGATTAGGGAGGTATACAGATTGGAAAGATACTGGTCAAAGGATACAAAATTTCAGTTGGGGGAATAAATTCAAGAGATCTTTGTATAATGTAATTATAGTTAATGTATCTTACACTTGAAAATTGTTAGAGGATAGATGTTAAATGTTCTCACCACAAAAAAATTAGTATGTGAGGTAATGCATATATTTGTTCGATTTAGCTATTCCATGGTTTCAAAACATCAGGTTGCATACCATAAACATAAACAATTTGTATTTGTCAATTTAGAAAATAATTTTAAAATCCCATATATCCACACAAAAACTTGTATAAGAATGTTCGTAGTAGCATTACTCATAATAGCCAAAAAGTGAAAATAACCTAAATGCCCACTAACCAATGAATGGACAAACAAAATATGATGCAGCCATACAATGGAGTATTATTCAGCAATAAAAAGGAATGATGTACTGATATACATACTACAACATGGATGAACTTTAAAAATGTTATGCTAAGTGAAAGAAGCCAATGACAAGGAATAACATATTAAAATATTCCATTTATATGAAATGTGCATGACAGGCAAATCTATAGAGACTGATTTGGTCTCAAATCAGTTGAAATTGGGGGTTTGGGGGAGAAATGGAAAATGGGTGCTAATGGGTTTGGGGTTTATTTTAGGGGTGATAAAATTGTTCTAAAATTGATCGTGGTGATGGTTGCACAAACTCTATAAATACACTAAAACACCACTGAAGTGTACACTTTAAATGGGTAAATTGTATGGTATGTGAATTATATCTCAATCAAGTTATTTTTAAAAAGGAATAAAAGGTTTTCTACTATGGAATGGTCACCAGCATATATTGTTAAGAAGAAAAAAAATGCAAGGAGAAGAAAAGGGTGTTTAATATGTTCTTCTTTCCCTAAGAAGTGAGATATGAATATATACATCTATATAATATTTCTAATGGAATAATAAAGTGTGAAATTTAAAAAATAACCTATGTGGGAAGGAAAGAATAGGGTGGAAGCACAGGGATAGATGCTAGAAACGTCTCTGAATATATACCTCAAGGACAAAATGAACTAAAAACCAATTTTCAGTAGTAATCATATTCTTGATGGTTTTTTTTTTTTTTTTTTTTTTTTT